CATTCATCTGTATCCCGTTTTTTTTCTTAGTTCCGTTATTTGAATATAAAGGTGTGTTAACTCAGCAAAATATGACAGAAGAATTTTTTTTTTGGGGCCTCGTTCCGAATGCCTTCAGGACAGGTTTGGCTGGCTTGAGTTCTGGGGATCAACCACAGCAACCAGAGCCTGACTGCTTTGTTGAAGCAGCCTCTTAAAAGAACTGAGCTAAGGGGCAGGCCCCCTGAATTATAGTTTCTTATAGCAAAGAAGGTTAAGTTGTATTTGGAATCAAGGATAATCAGGAAATAGATTAGAAATATTTCCTAGTCTATACAATTTTTTTTTGAAGTGAACACAGCAAGATTTTATTGTCTTCACAGTAAAACAAAACATGAAAAGTTAAAACTGGATCAGTTGGCCCTTTCTTTTCTTATCTTCTCCCAGTTCAAAATGCTTGTATCTCTTAATAGCTGGCATTCTCTCAGATCTGCATTTGGGCTCCACACACTCAAGCCTCAGGACAATCTTTGTAGTTTTGGTCTTCTTCCGGAAAATCAGCTTAGTCTGCCCACCATAGCCACTCTGTTGTCTGTTATAACACTGATTTCCCGGGACATACCGAGAATCCTTGCCTTTCTTGTACTGTGTCACTTTGTGGGGTTGATGCTTGCCAGACTTGCAGAAAAGTTCACCGGGTTTTGGGAATGTTCACCATGCTTGCAGGCGCACTACCAGAGAGGAAAGAAAAGGTTGGGCTAAAAGCACCCTAGTCTATAAATGTATTTATGCTGTAACTCAGTTTGTCTCCTTTGTGCACCTATTAAAAAACAGTAATTTCTATCCATCAATATTAATGTCTTTTAGAGAAAATTAAATGAAAAATTCATTGCAGTTAAAAAAACATACCAACCATCCTAACACTGCTGCTAAAACCCAGACCAAACTAAGACAAAAAAGAAACCAAGCAAATTAAAAAAACAAAACAAAAAAACAGTGAAACAAAACTTTGACACTCTGACTTTCATCTCCCAGTGGGAACCACTTAGCTTGTTATGGAAGCCATTCTGCAGATAATTTATGGAAATTTTGTTTGGCAGAATGTAATTTAAAAAATCCTGGGAATCAGCAAATACATAAAACATCACATACCATCAACTTATATACTGTGTTATTCTGAAACTACATACTTGTTTTCCTAATGAAAACCTTTTATTTACTCTTCCCTTTTTTTTTTCCATAGGAGTATATATGTCCCAGATGTGAATCAGGCTTTATTGAAGAAGTGACAGATGATTCCAGGTATTGTACAAGCTAATGAATAAATCAGACATTAAATTGTATTATAAACCTTTTCTGTAGTATCAATTCAGTGACCTAGGAGTTTGCTTTTTAAATTGATCAGGGCAAATACACATGACTGTGAATATGCACATGTATGAACAAACACACAAGCAAGGGAAGGTGTGAGAGGGATGGTCAAGAGAAAAACTGGAAAAGTGATTTGAGAGTAGGTGTGATGAAATCCAGAGCTTCTGATGGACCATTTCTTGGGGACCTCTAACATATCAGTAGATCTACTAAGTTCATTTACTTTCTCAGACTTTGGGGTTCTCTTAGGTTATTGGTTAGTTTTTAGTGACCATTTTGTTGCTGCAGGTTAAGTTGCTGTCATTCGTCTTTGGTTGGCAGTAGAACAATTTCTGATAAGAGTTCACCAGGTAAATAAGACATTCTAGTCAACCAAGCTATGTTGTTACTCTTAGGAAACCTTAGAACCTTTGTTCTTACTAGTTTTTCCTGTCAAACATTTATCATCTTGCCCACTGTATATTAATATTTGAATTTAATACTTGAAATTTTTCTTATTATCTTCAGTGGAGTTATAAACCTATAAGAATAGTTACAGAGTAGCATTCATTTTGCTATTGGCTTTTTTTTTTTTTTCTGTTTTATTTTTTGCTAAATGCAGTAGGAATTTTGTTCTTTTGGGGCTGTCTGGTTAAACAATCTATGAAATACCAACTGGTTAAATTTTTTTTTTTTTTTGCAGCCAGCTCAACCCTGGGGACGGGGCTGGCATGGTATGTGTCCCTGTGCTTTGCCTAAGGTTGCCTAAGCAGGCTCTTTATTATTTATTTATTCTCTTTTCAGAGTAATATTTTTTATTTTTATTTTTTTAAAATTAATTTTATTGAGAAAGAAATAGCAATGAGACAGTTTCAAAACAGGTTAGTAAGACAGTTACAGTAATTAATAAATTGTATATTGTCGTTGTAGTAGTTATTCATAGTACAAGATGGAGACATGATATCTTCCCTTATATAAGTAGGCTGTGTAGACTGCTGAGCTATCTAGCTGGCCCTGATTAAAATTCTTAATCTGGGAGTGACTGGGTGATTTTAATGGCTACAGAAGATAATTCCTTTACCATTGCAGAATCTAAAGTTGAAGGTTCCTTCTACAACCAGGAAAAAAACTACACATTTTACAGTATGTACTGTTAGTTTTGCTTTATTAATTATTGGCGATTATATGTATAAATGAGCTGAAGCTTCTGGGGCAATATATGGCATGGGATTTAGTTTGGTATAAACACTTGAGTGTTGGTACAGTACCCTTGGTTTTCAATAACAATACCAATGCTAGACCTGTAGGATTAGCATGGCAGAAAAATTAGCATGTGTGGATGGCATGCTGACTTGGCATAGTGTAGCTTTTTATTTTGCTGTTATAATTGCATTACATACTTATTTCAGGCACTTGTGCACTGCATGTGTTGAATAAAAATATAAATTGTGGAGAAATAATTAATGGACATTTTGAAGACACTAATCCTGGTTTCTTAAGGTAGATAATACTTTTTTTTTTTTTTTAAACAAAATACATGTCCAGCCAGGTATGGTGGCAGACACCTGTAATTCCAGCACTTGGGAAGCTGAGGCAAAAAGTTTGTGAGTTGAGGTCATTGTGGGCTGTATAATGAGTTTGAGGCCAGCTGCCTACATTGTAAGACCATGTCTCAAAAGCAAAATAAAATAGTTATAAATGATAACTGCAAAGTGAATCCTTGTGAAGCATATGGCTATGAATTCTGTGGATCTTGTTTTCACTTGACCTAGTTTCTTTAATTTGTGCTCTAATGTTTCAAAGATTGTTCTGTATGGGGAATGTCAGTGGCAACTACTCAGATGTAAAGGTTATGTGTTTTGAAAGAGACCAGTGGTTTTTTTTTTTTCTTAAAATAAGTGTATTAGAGGCAGCATATTTCCTTCTATAAAATTTGTATTTGCTAACTTGAATACTTAGCATTACGGTGGTTAGTAGTGGATGAGAAAAATAAGAGAAAGTCCTTGTATGTAAATTTGAGGTAATTTGAGGGTATTGTACCAACACTTGAGTGTTTATACCAAACTAAATCCCATGCCATATGTAAATTACCTCAAATTTAATAGACTGTCTATTAAGCATATCTATTAAACATACATATAGAGAGGCACTGTGTAAATTTTAAGCTTTGTAAAGTTTCTCAACTTTGAGATTATTTATATTATCCCTTTATAACTAGCTCTATCACTTTAAAGTGTGAAGGAATTTTAAGGAAGGAGAATGTTGATGAACTTTCAGGGGGAATCCCAAAAGATGAGATTTGGTTGTTTGACTACCTGAAACGATGTGGTAAAGGTAGGAAAAAAGAGCCTTGTAAACCTATCAGGCCTGGGCAGTAAAACAGAAATACAGTCTTGCAATTTTGTTTCTCATGATGTCTGATAGTTCAGTTATTTAGCATAGATGGTGAAGTACTTTTGGAGTTGCTGTGCAGTTGAAATGTTTTTTAAAAAAGCTTTTTAACTTCTGAAACAAGCATACATGTTACATGGCTTCTAATCAAATAATAAAGCCTAAGAATAATTCCATGAAGAGTGGCATTAGATTTTGCTTTTAGTTTAACTACAGTGTGTTTGCTTTTTCAGTGATCTCAGTGTAATGCCTGGATTGGTATTGTAATCCTATAAATGAAAGCTATTTGTAATAGTTTGTGAATTTTATATCATTGAGTGTTTTTGTGCCTTTATGTTTCTCTTAAAGTATTTCTCAGCATTTCTTGTGATTCCTTCCATCCTCTTTTCTCGTAAGTGTTAACACCTTTCTTTCCTTCACAGATTTTATAGGGAAAGTGGGATTTAATATTTTTTCCTGCTCTTAGGATCTTTGAGAATCTGTAGTTATTTTATTACTTACACATGTGATTGATACTAATTCAGCTTATATTTTGAGATATCAATATGGGATATTGTATTGCAGAGTTTTCAGAAGTAATGAGTGCTTTGCAATTTCCAGCACATTATACATACTTTAAATATTTAATTTGAGGCATTAATAAAATACAGCCTTTGCTCTTTGAATTTATATTCATGAAAGGAGAGAAAAGAGTTGAAATAGATAAGGGTAATTCTAGATATTTGTAATACAAAGTAGAATTGAGAAAGAGCACAGAGGGACTATAGAAGAGCCTCATTTGGTTGGTGAGTTCAAAAGTGATTTGATGGAGGAGGTAGTATTTGAGATAGGTGGAAAGGGTAGGCAGGATAAGCAAAGTATTGTATAGGATAAATTAGCAGAAGAAATTTGATTTGAATTCTTTTCTAATGTGTAAATTCTGTACCAGTCCCTCCTCCCTGTTACTACATTTATACATTCCCAAGAAATAACTTCCTTTCTTAAGTATTATGATCATGGGATGGTTGAGTGGTTTTAAAGTAAAACATTGTTTTGTCTCTTTGAGGACAAATGTTTATTTTTCCTTCCTTGTTAGATCATATTTGAGTTATATTACTGAGGGTCCTTCTTTTTTCTTTGTGGTGAGCCCTCTGACCAAAGTTTCACTTGATTTAGCCTTGATTCACTTGAAATCCATTTTATTGTTTATGTTTTCTGTGGATTAATTCACATGGAAGTCTTTATCATTTCCTTTATAGGTGTTGCGTTGGGATGAGTTATATTTCCTTATTGGGATTTGTCCTCATTATACCATTCTATTTTTAGCCTATGGGAAGGGAGCTTGTTCTGGGAATAGAATTACCACCATTCCTTTTTCTGTTTAGTTTTTTAGGTGGTGGAGGCAGTCGGATAGACAATAGCACATCAACACATTTTGCAGAGGTAAGTTTTCCTTTGGCTGTAGGAATTCTTTAGGAAATGTGTGAGATTTGAAAATTATGCCAGATAATTACTTCTAAGTGTGGCAGAACATCAAAGTTTCACTGAATGTAAAAAAAAGAAGTAGGTAAGAATAGCCTACTGGAAAGATCTGTTTCTAGAAGCTAGGAGTTTGGCATATTATGTTTGATTAGTAGAAAATAATAGCGTCAGACTGTACTACTTAAAAGCCAATAGTATTTTTAGTACTTTTTCTGCTTCTTTGTTGTGTATATGGTATGAGATGAAAGGCTCGAGCTGTTTTTGAAAAAACAGTATTGTAAACTTTGCTTTGGTGGTTGACTACTAAGTAAAAAAAGATCAAGTCAAGATGAGTTGTTAAAAAAGTATTTAGTGGGCTGGTGAGATGGCTCAGTGGTCTAAAGCACCTACTTGGAACAAGCTTGGCGAAGCACAGGGACCACTGTTCCATCCCCCAGCACCACATGCCAGCCACCCCGCCCCCTGGTGGGCTGAGCTGGCCACACACACATAAATGGATAGATGGATAAATAAATAAATTTAAAAAAAAAAGTATTTAGTGTTGGACAGTATTGGTTTTTACAAATTTGCCTCTCATCAATATGATACTTTGGCCAGCACAGGACCCATAATTCATTTCTATTTCTTTGTGCAATATGGCATCCATATATTTTTGAGAATAACAAGAATCTTAACTGATGTAAAAGTAGTCTGCATCCTTAAATACCATTTTATATTAAATTCAGACTACTTTTTTTCAGTGTATGCACGGACATAAACATCTATATAAATATGCATGTCAGTGATATTAGAGACTGGAGCTTAGAAGAAACCGACAAGTTCAGCCTACAATAGTAGTTTGCTTTTCTTTCTCTGTGTGTGCCCTGTATTGTTACATAGCTTACTGGGCTCTAGAAAACTGATAGATATTAAAAGAAAACAAGTTAAATCCCATAATCAGAATTTCTTTGTGTTTCAAGATCACATTAATCTTCCAGAGGTAACTGTAGTGCCTAAAGAGCTAGCCTAATAGTTTGGTATTTATTTTCTGTATAAATTGTAACTGTATGAACAGTATATTTGAAAAGTGATATTTAATCAGCCCATAAAACTCTTAAAAGTACTGTCTTATTAAGGGCATTTTCTTTTGCTTATATAGTGTATGGCATTTCCTAATACCTAGTTTAGGTTTTTTTATTAACTCTGTTCTGGATTGGTAGAAGGATTGATGAGGCCGTAATTCCAGACAGATCATGTCTTTGAGCATTCATTTCTATGTTCTCATTTTGATGAGCTGAAGACATCATTTAAGTTTTGTTCTGCTTTAGAGGCCTGGCCAGACTTTCTGATTTTAACATTTCCCCTCATTGCTGATGATCAGCTTCTGATTATGCATATTCCGAAGTAACTTCATTTGATTTTAAGTATTGATTCTCTTTTAGGATGGTAATAGGTTAGTCCGTCAGTTTTATAGGTATGACTCACTAGGGAGAAATTCATTGAGTAAGAAGAAACTAAATATATTTAGTCAGTTTCCTAACTTTAGAATACTTAGTCTGATGTTGATGGCATGGACTGTCCTTCAGGTGTTAAAGTAATTTTGCAGAGTCATAGCTGGTGACTTCATGTTCTTTAGCAGTGACAAAGGGGATAATTATGCTGAGTTTTCCTTCTGTAGAATTCTTTTTGTTGTTTGAAGGAAGAGTCATACAGAAGTGATTAAAAAGAAAACACCTTTAGCCAGATGACTTGGTTAGAAATCCTAGGTTTGCCAGTTACTGGCTATATAACGTGGGCAAAATTCCCTAGAACTTCTCTGTTCCATTTTCCTTTGGAAAATAATGGAGAAGGCCAGGCATGGTGTTGTATAATCCCAGCACTTAGAATGCTGACACAGGAGGATTCCTGTAGTTCAAACAGCAAGACCTTCCTGCCTAAACAGCAAGATCCTGTGTCAAACAAACAAACAAACAAACAAACTGAATGGAACATAGTGGGGGAGAAAATAATACCTCGTAAGGATGTTGAGAGAATTAAATGAGTTGGTATATACTAAATGTGTAGCTGCGGTGTGCTGTTGTATGGTGAGTGCTTAATACATTTTAACGATTGCCAAAACCTTATAGAGAAGGTAAAATTTGTCTGGAGTATTATAAGTAGGTGGAATTTAAGCAAAGATGTAAAAAAAAAAAAAAACCACAAAACAAAACAAAAAAACTATCTCAAAATAGCATTTCTAAATTACAAGGTTTTGCTATGCATGTACCCTACAGAAAAAAACAGCAACTTAAAAATAAAGTTATATAGAGAAATTAAACGCCAGGCATGATGCTGCATGCCTATAATCCCAGTACATGCGAGGCTAAAGCAGGAGGATTGCCACAAGTTCGAGGCCAGACTGGGCTACATAGTAATTTCAAGGCTGATCTCAACTACAAAAAAACAGCAAATTTTTTTTTTTCTTTTTCATATTTTAGCAAAGACTTACACTTCCTGTTTTTCTTCAAGTAGTGCTGCTTATACAATAAAGGAGCTCTATATTTTCTATAATTATTTATTAAAAGGTGAATTCTTAAAATACTCAGGTATATTAAAAGGCTTAGTCCAAGAAAATTTCTTTTTTCTTTTTTTTGGGAATTGAACTCAGGCCCTTGCGCTTGCTATAGAAGCACTTATTCTACTGAGCCATCTTCCCGGACCCCAAGAAAATTTCTGACACAATATTGACATATTTTTTTTTTTTTCTGCAAGTGAGGCTGGGGTGGGGATAGTAGATGGAATGCAGAGAAGGCAAGATGGGGAGCAATGTTTGAGAAATCTGTGAGGAAGGACAGTGAGACAGTCTAAAAATGTTGCTAGGACAGAGAGAAGAGAGACAGAACGAGCGAACACATTGCTATCTGAGGTTCCTTATGATAGCTTGGGAGAGGGATTCCATAGCATAGGATCTGAGGGTTTCACTGATTATTTGAAAGCTTCCTAGATGAGCTTGGTGCCAGCAAGATACCTGATCTTAGAGTCTCAGCTTACCTGAATGGATCACTTCAGTGCACTAATGGCTGAAGGACCTGGAGGTATGGCTCAGAGGTAGAATGCATGTATGGTCCTCTTGCCTTCCAAAGGCAAAACTCATCTTCCTCCCACTGACACATTTCTGATCTGGACCAACTCTTCAATCTCCAGCATAAATACTGAGAGAGGGGAAAAGACACAGAGAGAGAAAAAGAGAAAGAGAGAGAGAGAGAGAGAGAGAGAGAGAGAGAGAGAGAGAGAGAGAGACAGAGACAGAGACAGACAGACAGACACATAGACACACATGAACATAGATGCAGAAATTCTAAACGAATATTTATCCAGTGGAACCTAACAATATATAAAAAGGGTCATAATTATAATCAAGGCCTATCTCAAGAGTGTAAGATTGACCCAACATTTGAAAAGCAACAATATAATTGTTTTAGCATACTAAAGAATAAAAACAATGTGATTATCTCAATAGATGTAAAAAAAAAATTGGCAAAATTGAGTGTCTTTTTTTTTTTTTCTCTAGTATTGGGGATTGAGTGAAGGTGAACCAGGGTGCTCCAGCACTGAACTATAATTCCATTCCTTTTATTTTTTAATTTTGAGATGGGATCTCACAAAATCTTCTAAGTCACCTAGTATCTGAGTTTGAGCTTGTGATCTTCCTGCCTCAGCCTCCCAGAGTGCTCCCACTCTTGGCTTTTCCCCGGTACTGACAATTGAACCCAGGACATCACACATACTAAACTACTGCTTTACCACAGAACTGTGTCTTCAGCTTTAATTGCCTCTACCCTTATCCCAATATTGGGGATTGAATTCAGGGCCTTGTGAATGCCAGGTATTATGGCTTTTGCATCTATATGTCCCTGAGGCCTCTTGTAGTTACAGGTGGAGCTTTTCAGAGGTGGCTGGCTCTGGAGTGTGTGATGCAGGGGTCAAGTGATAACTACATTAGTCCACAGATTGGTTCGGCATACTGTGCATAGTGGGAATACCCACCCTGGGTGTAAACACTGCTCACTCTAAGGGTGTGTAGCCTCGATGGAATATAAGGGACAGGAAAGGCTGTTGTAAGAGGGCTGTTGTGGTTGCTTGCTGCTTACTGCTTCCACCTTCTATAGCACGAATTTCTCTTCTGTGGTACCCCTCTGCCATGCCAGCTTGCTTTGGAGCCAGCTACTTAGGACTGAAATTTCTATACATTGAGCCAAAGTAAACCTTTACTACTCAAACTTTAGGTGTTGGATATTTTACCTTAACAAGGAGAAAAAGATACTAGGCAAGTGTTCTAACACTGCACTACATCCTTAGACCTTTCATTTTTTTTTAAATTTTAAGCTTTAAATTAATTACTTTAGTTAATTTATTTGTTTATTTATTTGCATTACTAGAGATTGAGCCCAGCCAGGAACTTCTCACTGAGCTACATCTTCAGCTCTTTATGCTGATTTTTAAAATTATCAAACAGAATCTTGCTAAATTGCCCATGTTGGCCTTTACCTTGTGATCCTCCTGACTCAACATCCTCAGGATCTGGGATTATAGGCCTGGCTGGCTCCATATCCATTCTTTTTTTTTTTTTTTTTTCTTTTCAAAGTTTTATTGATAAACATATAGCAATGAGACAGTTTCAAATCAAATCGAAAG